CTGAGAGGAGTTTGTTTCCTGTTATCAAGAAACCATAAATATCTGCACCCAAAAGTATATCTACGGGTTTAGAGAGGTGAAAGTTGGGATCAGCTAAGGGCAATTGAGAAAACTTTGAGAACTGTTCAACGGGAAGAGAATTAATCGGTAAATTATCACTAATTTCGTTTAATATAATAAACTCCAAGGAGTAGATCGGATCAGACTTTCCAATAGGTTTAATGTTGCATCTAACACCGTGAGAACCTTTGGAAATATTTTTCCCGATGCCACACAATTGGATGGGGAGGAAAAATTTAGATAAACCTAATTTATTAAAACAAGATTTTGAAATAAAGTGACTTTCACTTCCACTGTCAATTACAGCGCGTATTACATGAAAATTACCCCACGCATCTTGAACATTGATTAATGCTGTAGAAAGAAGAGCTTTATTCTTATGTTTTGCAAATAAATTTGTAGATACAACTTCTGAGATAGAGCTGCTTGCTTGCAGAACTGGAAGAGTTTGCGATGAAGTGGATGGAGGAACGTTTACAGGAGTTGTTATTTGACCTTCGAAATGTAAAAGCGAATGATGTTTTTTGCCACAAGTTCGGCATGAGGAACGAGAATTACAACTCTTAGAAGAATGTCTAGTGCCGAGACAGTTTGAGCACCAACTTCGGGATTTAATTAAATCATATCTCTGTTTTGGAGTAAAAGCAATAAAATCTGGACAGTTATAAATAAAATGATCCTTGTTACAAACTTGACAAGTTAAATTTTGTTTCAACTGAGTGTTGACAACAAAGGAAGAGGTAGGTTTATTTTTATAACTTTTTTGTGAATACTTCGTTTTAGTTTTGTCATAATTACTATTTTTATTAAAATGAGAAAACGATTTAGTTAGAGAGATTGTATCTTTAGCTGAACATTGTTTTTCTAAAAATTCAATGAGTGTATCGTATGATTTGAGGTATAGCATATCTTGTGATAAAACAGAGCCACATTCCAGTTCAAAATTAGTTTGCAAAATTTCTGGAAGTCTATCATAAATCATATTAAATAGCACAAAACTCCAGCTCTCTGTGGGAAAACCCAAGTTATTTAAAATTGTAATATTACGAGTATAAATATCAATCATATTTCTTAGAGCTTCATGATTATTTTCGTTAGAGATGGGCTTAATATTTTCTAGAGCCTGCCAGTGAGCTTTTGCAATCAAACGTTTCTTATCGTACTTATTTTTTAAGGCTTGATATGCTATATTATAATTTTGATTGGCAAGTGGAGTACTAGATACCAAAGCTAAAGGAGGACCTCGTAAGAAACTCACTAGATAGTTGTATTTCGATATATCACTAAGAGACGAGTTACAGTGTATAAGAGAATCAAACATATCGATAAATGTTTGCCAATGTTTAAATTCACCATCAAAATGGGGTACCTCAATTTTAGGAAGTTTTACCGAACATTGAGCAGTAGTGTTTTGTAATTGTGTAGTATCCAGCTCCGATTTCGTTTGCGGAAATAAATTGTGAATAATGCTTCAATGTGAAAATAATAATCATTAAATTCAGTTTGAATTTTGACATGAGGATCAATATCGCCATTATCCTGTGCGGAGACTAATAAAATTATATTATTATGAATCTTATTAAAAGTTTTATAAATATCTTCTAAGTGTTTTGCTCTACATCTAAAGTTAGGGTGAAAATTTGGATCTTCAAGAGCTTGATCAGCGGATTTTTTAAGTTCTTTAATTCTAGTAAGTTCTACAGAGCGTTGAGCTATAAGTGTTTTTAATTTGCGAGCGTCTGCAGACATAGCGAAAATGAGTATAATAATTAATTAGAGCGTAAGAGAGAAATGGAATGCTATAAAGTGAGAAAATAAAATATTATAGAATATAATAATTAACTGAGAGAGAGAGAGAGAGAGAATGATATATTCTAAAATAGAATATTATATGAGAAAATAATTATTATATTTTCACCCCATAAGGTGAGAAAATAAAATATTATAGAATATAATAATTAACTGAGAGAGAGAGAGAGAATGATATATTCTACAATAGAATATTATATGAGAAAATAATTATTATATTTTCACCTTATAAGGTGAGAAAACAAAATATTATAGAATATAATAATTAACTGAGAGAGAGAGAGAGAGAGAGAGTAATTAATTAAGAGAATAAGAGAGAAATAGAATAATTAACTGGGAGAGTGTATGTGCGTGTGTGTGTGAGAGAGAGAGAGTAAGAATGATATATTCTACAATAAAATATGATATGAGAAAATAATTATTATTTTTACTAAGGTATTCGTATTAATTGAGTGTATTTATTAATTAAAAATTAAATTATTAAGAGAGAGAACAGACTAGAGTTGAGACTAAATGCGTATCGATAAATTTGAGCGTAAAAAAGAAATATCCGGACCAGTATCGCGAAACAGCGCTAGATATCGCTTTTAACACCGGTACGGCAATTTAAAAATCGATCGGCCGGTCGCAAATTGCTGGTCAGTGGAACCAGTGACAAAAAATGTACTACCTTTTTTTACTGCGTTAAAGAGAAGATAAATATAGATTTTGTTCGAGAATTTATTTTATTGAATATATTTAAAATAATATATTACAAAAATATTAATGATATTTAGATAATTTTGAGAAATTAATTATGATAATCAATTTAATTGAGTATAAGTAAAATATGTATGTAGTTCAGAAAGGGATCTGCGGCGGAAGGACCAATGTTACGGGCGAGAATTAAGGGGCTCAGTTCATTAGGGTGAGTTAATGTATCAGGACTGTGGGCACTCACCTTTATTCCCGTTCTGGACTCGTACTTGTTATTTTGCTTATAAAACACTTAGGATAGCGCGCGCTTGGAGGTGTACACTTTGTACTCGGCCGATCTTGTCACTCTGCGTATTCGACTACGGCTACGTACCCACTAAGGTTTTTCGGGTAAAGGGTGGGAGAAAGGGATAGAATCGAACAGACGTATAATATGTCAACTTTTGACATATTCGCTCAAAAACAAATTGTATTTTAAATCTCAATCTAGAGTGCCATGTCTATGTTAAAAACACTAATTTTTAATCAAGGAGCCTTGGAAAAATAAATTTGATCGTCTAATGTTTTTAGTGTCTTGTCCTGGCCGATTAAAAGATGCCCAAATTTTGATCGAGTTGAGACCGTATTTTTGATCATATTTAATTTTTTTCAAAAAAAAACGAGGGTGGCTCATTAGCATATTTCGAAAAAGATTTTTTTTACGAATAATTTGATACCACATATTTGGTACTTCGAGTCAAATTGTCGTTATGAACCGCATGTTACAATTTCAAATAAACCATATGCGAAAATGTCAAAAGTTGACATGCGATATGTCATTCTATTCAGAGTGTCATTTTCTACCAAATAAAGTAAAAAAATACCGATGGTGCCATTTAAAAATCATAAGTTGTAGTCATTTCCGGTAAAACCGGAAGTGACCGAAAACAATTGAATATCTCAATCAATCCTAATTTATGTCATATACTAACATACCAAATCTCGTTGTTTCATCTGAAAAAATAAACCACTTTTGAGACGCACCCGGTATATTTATCCGTTGCGTATCCGAGGGACAAAATCTTATGACCTACATCGACAATGCTTCGAAATAAACTAATGGTGGGTTCATACAGCCAAATAAAATAAAATAAGAATAAAATAAAATAAAATAAGAAAGTTGGTTATATGGGATACCGTACATGCGTTCATACAGCCAAATAAAATAACAAATAAAATAAGAAGTCTTTATCTTTTAACTTCTTGTTTTATTTTATGTGAAAACGGCTTTGCGCACGCTTAATTCTAACCTACAAATATTTTCAGTTTGATTTAATTTATTTTATAATTTCACATAAGTAAAATGTATAATATAGTAGGCAACGAATAAATAAATATACTATAAATAGTAAAATTACTATAAACAATCGTAAAAGTTAACTTTTATCCAGCCTCATCGTACTGCGCATGAGCAAATATATATTTCTTATTTTATTTTATTTGACTGTATGAACGCACACAAATAAGAATTCCTTATTTCTTATTTTATTTTATTCTTATTTTATTTTATTTGGCTGTATGAACCCACCATAAGTCAAGCGATCAAAGATCAAGTAAATCGCTCGCTGCTTACTACTTGCCGTTCATTACCCAAAGAATATGTGCCCTGCGCACGCAATTTACTGCTTGGCAGTTGGCGTTAACAAGTACTTACAACATGCGACGGGTGAAAACCGTATTTTTAAATGATAGATAATTTTAGATGAAATTTTTAAATAATAAATACTTGCTAAATAAAAAAGCATACCGCCGTCCGGCGGTATATTTTTTTAATAATCCTAATTATTTTTAATTTACCAAATTTTATATGATATTGGTTTTCGCAATGTATGTTTTGCGGTTAGGTACTGTTATCAAAACTACATTTTATTGCATACAAAAATACAAATTTAGATGCAAAATAAGTAAGAAACTAACACTAGACTTTTTATCACCTAAGTAATCAAAATGCAAAAATGAAGGCTATGTTATCATTTCGAAATGAGTTCGTCAGAATAGAAAGACTCAAAACACAGTAATAATTTGGCGGTCGGTGAACCTTACGTTCAGAAATTTGGACTCCAGATAATTTTGTTTGCGTTTGTAGGACTAATTGATCAGCTCAATTCGGCAGTCGAAATATTTTGGTATATGATGGTGATCAAAAGACACTGTAAGCGTGTTTTAATTTCTTTGTTTTTTCTCGATTTTGTCTGTTTCAAAAATGATTTTTTTTTTCTGCTAGATTAAGTGCATACCGCCATCAATGACAAATTAATTAAATTTTCCACCGGCATTTCTAGATATAGAAATATCATGCCGCCGGTGACTTTCAACCACCGGCGGTGTGTTGAATATATTATAAAAACTATGTTGGTATAATGAAATAATTAGGTCAGCTAAGTCACCTTACTTACGTCTGAGCATCATCTTGTGAGGCAAATAAATTAAAATCGTGGAATATTATCTGTATTCTTTCTTTGCCTCGTCCCTGAAACTCGTAGCGACAGGTTGTCTTCGGCGGATATGGCGATGGATATAATGGACTTATTATAGTGCCATTTTTACTTGTGTCACTATTGAAGGCTAAATCACAGCTTGACCCTAAAAAAATAAGATTCAATAGTGAATACACATATCCGGGAAAACTATTATAATATAAAAAACTGTTCCATTTTCAAATTAAAATGTATAAGGCTTCATTCAGAACCTTGCAATTAGTGGGATAAATTAGTGGTTTCATCTCGGGTTTCATACACTTTATACTTTCTAGTTTACGATCATTCACAATGTCTATAATTACAATTAAAATTAATAGAATATTCTAGCAACATCTTGCGGTAATCAGTTGTATACATAGAGAAAGCCTATTTTTAATATTTAGCTTATAAAACAATAAACTTTTGATTTCTAACCACATTTTATCTTGACGAATTATAACCAAAGGCGAAAATTACATTCCTCGCAAATTTTGAAGTATAATTAGTGGAAAAGTTAAAGGTTTGTTAACTTTTTCCACTAATTGAAAATTCCTACCACTAATTTTGATGTTCTGAATGCTTAAATTCAAATTAGGGGAACAAACTTCTACGCTAATTGAAATCACTAATTTATTCTTCTAATTGGCGAAGTTCTGAATGAAGCTTAATAAAATTTAATATGGTCCAAAATCGCAACCTAAGTATAATACAAATGGTTTATTTTTATTTATTTCAAGGGGTCAAAACTTTTCTCTATACCGGGTGTTTTCCAAATGTGGCTGCCGTTTAACTTTTCTTTAATTTTTTAATATAAAAAAAACCAAATCTGGTAATTGGTAATTTCGTATTTTCTTACTTTAGTTAATCGGAGATATACCTCCTGAAACGTAAAGCATATTTTTGCCCGTTTTGCAAATTTATTTTATTAGGAAAATACCGCTGACAAATTGGTCTCCGCTGGATCAACGCAGCGGTGTTAACAAAAAACAACTATTTTATTTTGTAGATTTTGTTTTATTTGCGAAATACTCATAAATCTTTTTTGAAAAAATGTCTAGGTCCTGTGAACTTATCAAAAACGGATGTGCACATCAAAAAGACACGCTAGAAGTTATTTACACTATAGACAGAGCATGGTATAGGTTCTTCGAAGTCAATTGGAATATGTGAGACTCTTCATCATCATCATCATTTTCAGATCTTTCAACCATTTCCAATTATGATATAGCCTCCCACACATACTGTCTTTGTAGTTGAGACCATTGGTGTCTATTGTCGGCTATGCGGGCTCAAGTTATCCCTGCTTACTTTCCCATCTTAAGTCCGGTCTTCCTCTCGGTCTCTTAATTCCTCGTGGGTAACCTGCTGTAATTCTCCGTTCTTCTTGCCAAGTGCCCTGCCCATTGCCATTTGAGGGATTTGGCTGTGAATGACGTGTATTACCTGGATCTTTTGTCGTATTCACTCTATTCTTTTACGGTCTCCACGGTCACTACGGAAGAACCAGCCCCTGGACAGCCCACCTGTTGAAGGGTAGGCCCAGAAACCGGTTGTGGGAGTGGAGCTTGGTTCCTCCCTTTACGACAAGCAAGACAATTTTCTTTTTACTTTTTATTTTTTTTTAATTTCTTCTCTACTTTCGATTTTTCGAAATTAGAAAAATTACACAGCTAAAGGCAAGAAAATATTATTTATTAATATACACTAAAGCTGTAAGAATTTTGTTCATTTCATATATTTGAGCGGGCCGAAAAACGCTCTTTACCATCTTTTGACGGGAGATGCACTAATATCTCACCGACAGTTTACGACATCGTCTGTAGATATAGAAGAAGTTTTGCTTGCCGTATCGGTGAGAACCAGCCCCTGGACAGCCCACCTGATGAAGGGTAGGCCCAGAAACCGGTTGTGGGAGTGGAGCTTGGTTCCCCCCTTTACGACAAGCAAAACAATTTTCTTTTTACTTTTTATTTTTTTTTTTTTTCTCTACTTTCGATTTTTCGAAATTAGAAAAAATACACAGCTAAAGGCAAGAAAATATTATTTATTATTTTATTATATATATATATATATATATATATATATATATATATATATATATATATATATATATATATATATATATATATATATATATATATATATATATATATATATATATATATATATATATATATATATATATATATATATAGTGGAAAGAAAAGACATTCTAATATATATATAATATTTATTAGAATGTCTTTTCTTTCCACTAATTCGTTGTACAGGTTGTCCCACTAAGAATAGCTTTCGGCTGTATCTCGGAAAGTATTAGCCGTAGGAACTGCAGAAAAAAATATTTATTACTAAAGAAACTATGAGAAATTGCTGGAAATTATTTTTAAGTTTGTAAAACAGCCGCTAGAGGGCGCAACTGCTATCAAAAATAAGAAAAAGGAGTTTTTATAAAATTTTGTCTAGATAACAGGTACTATAAATGATAGCTTCATAATATTCACTAAATTTTACTTTACTTAAATTAAACCGAAGATATTAGCAAAATTATAATAAATACGACGCCTCAGTGAAGCCATGGTAGGCTTTGGAAAAAAGTTGCTTTTGACGTAATAGTATAAACGTCGAAGTGTTATTAAAGATCGCGCACACTATACCTACACGGACCAGTACGGACCAGCACAGCACAAACCTGCATCCTGCATGACATCGCACACTTTACCGCCACAGACCAGCAACATAAACGAGAGTTTCGAAAAAAGTACAGTTGTCAAGGCTCAACTACTAGAGCGTGCAACATAGAAGTATTGAAAATGAGTAGTTCAGAGGAAGAAATTATTATTTTAGTCATGTTTTGTGAAGAAGAGGAGGAAGAGAAGGAAGCTAAGAAAACAAAAAGATTTTGGGTTCACCCTATAAATCAAAAGAGAAAGCAATATGGCGAATTTCATCATTTGTTTCCTGAATTAAAAAGATTTGAAGAAAAGTTTTTCCAATATTTTCGAATGTCACAAATCAAATATGATTATTTTTTTTTGCTATCGACTCCCATATTGCATCTTTTTTTTCTTGGTCTCTATATATAAAATGCTTGGCTCGTATCGCACAGCTCTGGATACTTTTGTACCAGTAAAATAAGCTTTTCTTCATTCATATTTAAAACGATTTAAAGGTTCGAACAAAAATAAACAAAATCTAACCTACATCATGCGATTTGAGCCAGCTAGCGTACTCGAAATACTGACAAACCCTTCAATATTTGCATGTTTGTGGAGGTGTGCTGGTTCGCCGGTGCGCACATTAGGTCGGACCAGCACGACCAGGTATAAATATTGCCGGTCATATTTGTCCCTGACCGACACGACCTATTTTGACGGTCGTGACTTGTGGCGGTACGTGCTGGTACTGGTCTAGTGGGCTCTACTCTATTAAATAACATGGTCACCTTCACCGGTAGATTTTACTAGTCTGGTCCGTGCCGGTCCGTGCAGGTATAGTGTGCGCGATCTTTTAGATCAACATTTTGATAGTCTTATCAGCGTTATTTCTCTTTTGAAGAAAGGAATTTTTATAAAAGGAATCAAAAGATAAAAACGCCGAGCTATCAAAATGTTGATATAATAATATTTTGATGTTTAAACTATCCCTTTAAAAGAACTTTTATTCAAAGCCTACCAAGAATTAGTTGAAGAGATTAAAAAAGGAGTTCTAATGTAATATTAAAGAGAATGCCCTTTCCAAATTAGATGGTATCGGAACATAAATGGTATGACTAATTAGACAATTTCGGAAAGTTGATACTAACAAATCACTTTATTTGCAATAAATACCATTATTATTTCTTTTAGTTTTAAAAATTTACTGTGATGGATGGTTGCAAAATTCGTTGAGAAGACTAAAAAAGGACTTCTAATGCAATATTAAAAAACATAACCTTTCCAAATTACATGGTATCAGAACATAAATGGCTGCAAAAAAAACAAGGATATTTTCTTAACTTATGATTAATTTACAAGAATATGGATATTTCTCAATACACTTTATAAAAGATGGGTATTAATGGAGTATATTATTTTGAATGTATTTGGCAACTGCTTATACGACTATAAATATCAATGCAGTCTATTAAGTATAAAAAATTACTTTAATTAAATAAATTAAAAAATCGTTTACTCGTGAATAATCTTATTTATAAACTTAATATTTGTACACAGTTATTATATTATAGCCGTATAATACATATTGTTCAAAATCTGTGTAACAATACCTCTCTCTGTTACTAAAATACTCCTTCCATAGTCAAAGGTATGGAACGAGTCACTTTGAATGGGAAGTAAAAACCTTTGTTGCATTATATACTGTACGTACAGAATGTTCTGGATGTAGACCCTAATGGAAAAGTAAGGTAAACCATAAAAGCCCATAATATTCTTGAAATGGTGTTAATGCGGTTTCTACGTCTAATTTTCTAACGAAGAAAAATGAGATTAAATATCTGGAAGTATATTGTTAGGTACACAGGGGGTAAGAGAGACGTACAAAGCGACTGGTAATCGCTTTATATATTTGCTGCTAATATACCCTTCTTGTATAAACTGACATATTTTTTTATATATAATAAAATTTGCTAATACTAAAAACAGTATTCTTTAATAGTGTCACATTAAAAATAAAAGACGTACTCATTAAAAACGCAAGAAGGACTTATTAGCACTTTTTGATAAAACAATTTTAGTACTATAGTACTAATTAATTAAGAGTCTTATACAGCCAGCAATAAAGTGGGTGATAGATCTCAAAATGAATTTAGCAAAAGCTAAAGTAATGTACACGGTGTCCCACTAAGAATAGTTCTCGGCTGAATCTCAGAAAGTATTAGTCGTAGGGCTTGCGGAAAAAAAAATTTATAACTAAAGAGATTGCAGTTGGAGGTTGGAACCTTTGGTGTTACACAGAAAAATAAAACACTAAATCACCACAATACACCAAAACACTTTTACTTTTACACTGGACGCACGTTTTGCTAACCATGTTAGCATTATAAGCAAATGATTAGGACGATGATGAGATAGATGAGGCACATGATCGGTCTCAATCATCTAACTAACCTCAGCTAACTAAAAATAC